GGGGTGGCGGGGCCCCCAGCTTAGCCTGTGGCTCGGGGCCTGGCGGGCGACCGCAGGCCTAGGGGGCCACGATGGGCTTTTGTGCCCTCTCCCGCCGTTCCTCCTCTCTCACTCCGTCCCCTTCCCAGACCAACGAATGATAATGAACGAGTACATCTGGGTCTTAATCCCGGCTGGAAGCCGCGCCGCCCGAGGGCCTGGCGCTGGCCTGAGGCGCGCGACTGGCGCCCTGAGCTGGGGTGCGGGCGGCCGGGTCCCCCCATCCCGGAGCGCAGGCTGAGCGCGAGCGGCGGGAAGCTGGAGGGCTTCCTCATCCGCCGCGCGCATCTCCGAAATAATAAAGAAATGACCGAACAAACGTGGAGGCTCCTTTGAAAAGCAGATCGACTATGCCCTCGCAGGCTCCCGGAGCACCATCTGTCACGCAGACAGCCACACACATCGGGGACCTTGGGACGCGGCGACCTGGGATAAGACAATGCGCCTGCAGTCTACCGACCACCTCGCAGAAAACTGCTGGCGGCCGGGTCGCCGTGGGAGGAGAGGCTGGAGAGGGGAGGGAAGGGCCGGGGCGGCGGCGGGCCGGGCGAGGAGGACCGGTGCCAAGCGCTACCAGCATCTCCGCGGGCAAAGTTTGGGCGCTCCCGACACCCGAGCGCCACAGCCCGCAGCTGGCCCGGGAGGCCTGACCCAGACTGACTACGTCTGTGCTTAGCTTTCCTCTAATCGTGGCGCTGGAAAAGCCACCTCGCCTGGCTCCTGGCCGCCGGGAGGACAGCCCCGACCGCGCGCCTTCGGGGAGAGGGCCTGGGAAGCGCGGAGAGAATTGGAGCTTCGAGGAAGGGCCTGGCGGGAGGGGAGGGCACCTGCCGATGCTGTGCGCTCCGCCCGCGGCCGCCGGGTGCGAGGACCCGGCTGCTAGCCTCGGCCCCGGCGTGTGCCCGGAGCCCCGCGAAAGAAATCGGCGTCGGTGAGACCAGAAGGTTTTGCTCCTAAGAAAACAAAAGCAAAAGGATATGTGGTCGGTTCCCAGCCCTGCGCTCGCTTAGGAGCGAATGGGGCTCAAACACAGCTTTCATTTTCCTGCGAGGAAAACTGGTCTCCTTAAGCAAAACAAAAACAAATGCTCCTAGTGAACGGCGTGTGACTCCCTGTGGGCTCTTCTCGGTACGTTCCTAAGTAGAACAACTTGCATCTACATGGCCGGCTTGAAAGGGTAGGGATAAATAGGCGAGGGAGACAAAAATCAAAATAAACCCCAACATAGTTGTAGTTCTGCATCAAAAGTTACAGGTTGCCCTCAACGCATGTTAAGTTCCCCAGACGTCTTTCAGAATATTCATAAAGGTTATGTCGTGTGTGCATTTTGTTTCTTTAACGGTGAACTGAAATGCACTATGAACGTAATGCGAATAATCGAACTGAGTTTCAAGCGGAAAGAAATAAAGGAGTCTTACCTTGCCAAAGCCTTTTCGATAATCTTTTCTCCAATCTTTTAGAGTTAAAATTCGAGGTGATAGTGAGGAAGGGAATTCCGGATAATATTAAAAGCAGCAAATATTTATTACATTCAGAAATGGAAAAGCAGCTGTCATCTCGCTGACGTCCACAGCGAGGGACGATACTATCTCAGAATGTGGACGGTAGGACTGATTGTTCACTTAGTTGATGGCTCACAACACCTTTTCCGTTTAATTGTTCTCAAACATTTCGAGAAATTCGTTGTCGATTTTTTTTTTTTTAACGAGGTGTCGAAAAGTCTCGTGCCTCGGTTCCTCTTCTCGGTCTCTATAAATAACAAAAGAGATGCAGAGATAAACAATCACATCAAAGGGCTGATTCCTCCACTTTCTAACAGCGGAATAATCGATAAGAAAGATGGTTAAGATCAGATTCCGCTCCTGTTAGACTCCTTTCCTTTCGTTAATACCGCTGAGCAGAAGCTGGGAAGTGCAGGGCAGAGACGCGATCTTGCTCAGAAGTGGTTTTCTTATTCTTTCGTTCTTTCTTTCTTTCTTTTTTTTTTTTTTTTTTTTTTTTTTTTTTTTTTTTTTTTTTTTTTTTTTGAGATAATGCATTTTTCAGCTGATGCCTCCCCAGTTCCCAGGGACACAATACTGTAACTAGGCTCTTAGGGTGCCTCTTCCTCTTCCCTCCTTTACTTGTAGGTGGTAGAAACAGACACCTATTTTCAGTTTCAAAGTCTGTCAAGGTTTGGTTCAATTTCCCACCCCATCCCCTCCTCTCTTTACCTTGTAGCAAAATATATATAGTCAGTGGCTTGGAGAGGCTTGGAGAGAGGGTGGTGAAAAGTGAACGTCTCCTGGATTAACAGTGACAGGGAAGCAGAGAAAGATGGGAAGAGGGTGGGAGAGTCAGAGCACACAGGCAGAGGTGGGTGTGTGGCTTCTTGGCTCTCCTGGTACCAATTGATTCAGCCTGGAGATGGTGGAAGAGATAAAGGCTTAAGAAGGGGGATGGAATTTTTTTCTCCTAAATTGATATTTAATGGGAAATCCTATTGGACAGAAACCTGGACATGAGTCGCTTAATTGGACTTGACATCTGTCACAGTGTGGGAGTTTTCACAGCCCAAATATTTTAGCAGATCAGATTCTGCTGAATCCGGAATCCGTGCCATAAAATAGAACAGTTGAAAGCAGTCCATGATAGAAACCTTAGCTTCCACACAGAAGGTCTAACTGTAATCAGGCTATTTCTCTTTGCAGATTATTGATGCAACATTTAAGTGCAAATAAACAGTATATGGACTAGGGAAAAATTTCTCTGGCATATTACAAAACCAGCACTTTTCCTTAATGTTTAAGAAAATATTCATGCCCAGAACCTGGAAATATAAACTACTTAAGATGCTGTAATCAATATAAATATTAAGATATGCGAGCATTTATTGGATATCATTTACATTTTAAGATACTTCGACAAGTTTGATTAAGCATATTAATATTTTTTAGAGATATTCTGAGACTAACATACCAATAAATGATTTTTTAAAACCCTTTTAATAGATTGACTGAATTCGCTGGTAGAAGAGAATCAGGTATTTAGGGACCACTGCATAATATGAGTCTGCTTTTCAGAATGTGTTTGCGTTTCTCTTCACCCCCTCATTCATTCAAGTTAAAATATGACACCCTGCATGTGTGGATTAGCGCTGCTTCGTCCTCACCCACCTTAACATGCGCATGCATTTCGCTGGGTAGCAGTGCATTGGACTAGCACGTAAACATTCACAAATCACTAGTGTATTCCGGCTCAGAATGGCTTTGCCATACGCGACCCTGTGGCCCTGAATTTATATGCCTTATAACAAAGGAAAAATCTACTTCAATTATTTTGCCACTTTATAGAGATACTATTAGTCACCATCAATGATATATTATTAGCCATCATTTTTACTCTTTTGATGGTTCAAGCTTAAAAAAAAGAAAAAAGAAAAAAGTATTAACGCCTTACTCCCCACCTCTCCAATCTCTGGTGAAACATTTATAGAGAGAGGGATTCTCACTTCCCCTCCCATATCATTTTTATTATTAAAGGAGGGATGTTGAACACCCCACCCCTGCAAGTGACCTCTGCATTCCTCATAGCTGTCAGGAGTCCTGTTTGTCTTTGCACGCACACATTTTTCCTCCTCTGGGAGGTTCTAGAACCAGAATGGGGTAGGACTGAGGAGGAGGAGGAAGTGTGCTTCCGCAGAATAGGAGCACCTACATTTCCCAGCCTTGACTCTGCTCAGTCCCAGGGCCGAAGTAAGTTTTAGGTCTTCCCAGGATATAGAAGTGGAGACAGCAGCAGTCTCACACAGGTGGCAGTGGAAACAGGTGAGTGGATAAGGCCCCCAAGGTGAGAAGGTAAGGGGGAGGGAGGTTTTTTCCTTAGTCTAGGTAGAAGCCAACACTAAGCGTTCACACACACCCGAAAGTGTGCACACGGATGTACACCCAGGTACCTGCCCCTCCACACTCCCATTACTCATACAAGCTCTCAGGCTCACAGGCTGACCAACTGGTTCACATTCAGACTGACTAGAGCTCTAGCATGGGCAGATGGGAGACTGGGTAGGGACTGGTACCTCTGGTTACTCTGCTGTTGGGGACAAGCAGTGGGGTGCATATCACAGCAGGCCCAATTCTGCTATGGTGTACGTGGAGCCATACAAATTTGCTTTTACATTCCACCCTGACAGTGGTGTGCACATAGGTTAATACCTACACGAGTCAGCCTGTGTAAACAGTCACATACACAGCTGCACACATAACCATGCCTAGACACACTGTCATGGGTTAAAAACACAGATTATGGATTTGCACTCACACATGCACATTCTCTCTTGCAAGAAAGCCTCCCCCTCTCCCACCACTATAGCCTTTTCTAAGACCTTCCTGCCACAGATGGCCACTCCTTCTGTGCTTGCCAGTCCTCCTTTCACATCCCCCTTAGAGACTGCTTATTGTCTACTACGACTCTTGGTTTCCATTCAGGACGCTCCCACTAGGCAGTGACTCTTCCACTAGAGGTCTGTGCCTATGTCCCCAGCACTGATGTCCGTGTGGCATACATTTCACACCCAGTTCACTTATGGCGTGTGACACCCTGCGTACAGAGGCACCCAGATATTTGTAACAGAGAAGCACTTCCTCCCGTCACTGTCTCAGATCTATTTTTTCACAGGTGAAAGTGATGATAATAATCCTGACCATCTCACTTCACAGGCACGTTAGGGAACTCAATGTGTATGAAAGTATTTGATAAAATACTAAGCACTATACAGATGAAGAGATTACAGCCTGAGGTTGGCAGATGGCATGGGAGTTAAGGCACTGGACTCCCATATGGCAGACCATGGTTCGAATCTTGGACCTGATAGCTTGCTTTCTCACTTTCCTTTTCTCTCTCTGGTCAAATTAAAAGAATAATAATAATGATGATGATAAATAAAATTAAATAAATAATTCTTTTTAAAAGATATTATGGCATTTTAGTAAACCCATGAGGAGATGGTAAGAACTGGTTTAAAAAGCCAGACTTCCAGGCTCTGTCATTCTGCTAGCTCTGTGAAGTTAAGCTAGCTGTGAGTTATGAAACCTGGTTCTAACCTCTAAAATGGAACAGCCAAAATATATTATATTGCTACATTATGTCACATGTTTTTCTCTGACGATGAATAAGATAATCCATGTAAAGGACTTAAGCTAATGCTTGAACTCATGCTCAATAAACATTGATTATTAATAGTCTTAATAATATTATTGTCATTATTGAATATAAATACATACTGAGAATCAGAGTATATACTGAGAACCAGCAGGCTTCCAAACTTTCAGAGTAAAATGGAAGTACGAGTTTGTTTTGGTACAAACATTTTGAAATCCATGCCTAGTTCTTTTCATAATGTGCATTTTCCATGAATCTTTTGAAGATCCTTGTATTTGTTCACTCCATTAGACAGCTGCTTCAGCCTATTTTCATACATTTTATACTCCATCAGTAAAAATTCTGAACATTCATATCCAATATATGTGGATTACTAATATACTTTGTACATATATTACTGTACTAGAATATTATACAATTACAAACATACACATACAGAAAAAAATTTAAAAAATTGTTTACTGGTCCAACCTGTGGCACTGAGGGTAAAGCAGCTGGATCCCACATGGCCAACTGTGCAGTTCAAGTCCTGGACTCATCAACTTGAGTAACACGCCAGGTGCATACGTGTGTGCATGCCCGAAATCCCAAGAGGAGACTTTCAGACAAGGGATTGTGGCACGGCCATGCGCCCTGGGGGAGGTGATTTCTCATTTTCCCTCTCCTTTTCTCTCTGTCTCTAGCAAGCACATGCATCCTGTAGCAAAATACTAAAGAAAAAAAATAAATGTAAAAATGAAATTTATAACTTTTAAATAGTAAAAGAATCTATTAACAGCACAAGGTATTGTTGATAATGTATAATTTTTTAGAGCAATAAGCCTCATTTTGTTAACATCATTTAAACCTTTCTGATGGTGTGCTTTTTTTAGAATTGTTTATTTAATTTTATTTTTTGTTATTATTACTTTTAAATTCTTCAGAAGGAGAAAGAAAATGAGAAAGAAAGTTGTCAGGTCCAGGACTCAAACCACAGTTGGCCATGTGAGAATCTGGTGCTTTAACCACCATGCCACCTCCTGGCCCTGATTATATGCTTCAACAGTCTGATTTTAAACTCAATTTATCTAGAATCTGTTTGTATGGCTGATACAGCAGAAGAAGATTCAGATGTTCCTATCGGATGTTACTATCACAAAAAAAGCACAAGTATGTGAGGTGATGGATATGTTAATGAGCTAAATTAATCATTCCACAATATATACATACATCAAAAGATCATATGGTATACCATAAATGTTTATCATTTTTCATTTTTCAGTTAATAATAGTAGTAATATAGCAAAGTGGAAACAACTCACAGATCCATCAACTGATGAATGCATAAACAGGATGTGACATATCC